TTGGTACGTGACAAGCCAAGTTACAAAGTCCAGTTTGACAGTTTAAAATCTCACTCTGATTTTCAAAATATTCATATTGGAACGTGAAAAAATCTGGTTTTCAGACATTCAAGTTGTCACAAGATGAAGAACGACTTGGAGCTTTTGAAAAATATCCGACTCCAAGAGTCCTCAAGGTGGGACTTTAAAAAATCCGAGTATCAATGGTACATATAAGAAGAGCGATGAAAAATTATGTATTCATGTGAATCAAGTTGGGACAAGCCCACAATCCCAAACGGTACTTCCACGAACGAGCTCACCAGTTTCTCACAGCTGTAACCTGGTAACGGATACACAAACAGGACAGCCACCAGCGATAGGAGGATTCATTATTGAGAATATTTCTCGGATTGCCAGGAATAATTTCCTCGTGTTAAAGAGGGCGGATGAAGGAGGGCGCATGCTTGGAAGACATCGGTGAATTCCCACCTGTATCACATACGAATACCAGAAAATACAACTGGTGTGTCTCATGGACTAGCTGACCGGCTACCTTCCCCATGAAAGCCACACTTACAACACTGAGGATGGCAAATAGCTAACGATGACCGTCCGAGATAACATTCAGACACATAATAACTAGGTCGTTGTGCTTCAGACTGGTCTAGGTGTACTGTTATTGAATGGGGGCTTCGTTTACCCACTCTCCTTAGGGTGATTAGCGTTTAACCCCAACTATTCTCGTTATTTATGAATTATTACCCCTATTACCCTCTGATTTCATACAACCTAGTAGCATGGTAAAGCAAGATAAGGATAAGGATAACTTGTTGAACATTCTGTTAGTCTATCCTAAATATGATCGGGAACTTTTTCCAGTTTTTAAAGTCTCAACTTGACAACTTGAGAGCTTGAGAGCTTGAGACTCTGCATCTACCTTGAGTTGTCTTTAAACCCAAATTGATGGACATTTGGATTGAAATGAAAAAAAAGTCCATACTCTCAATGTGGCCTTTGAAAACGTGGAATTTTCAAGTGGTAAAAATGTAAAACTATATTGCCAAGGTAGTGAGACTGGTAGGGTATGCATTCATGTGCCCCTCTTCGTAGCAGTATGGCGTACCTACAGTGCAGACAGACTGACTTGCGGTGTGGAAGGTGGAGAAGAGTTGTATGCCAAGTAACAGAAAGAACCGAGTCGAATGAAGGTGTACGTCCCTCTTTGGATGACTCCCTTCTGCGTACATGGAGATACATATAGAGCGTGTGTGGAAATTGAGTGAAGCAGGTGTGTAGGCAGGCCATTTTGTATCATCCTGCACTTAAACGATTTTTTCACCACCGAAATATTATTTCAATTCATTTTAACTGACTCTCAAAATTCGTTGAAATTTTCACCCAACACAGCCTTGACTAAACAACGCGTTCTCCACATATAATTTCACACTCCATAATTTAAAATGCAGTAAAAAATAAAAATAAATAATGTTTTGCGGAGTGGAGGCGGGTCCCTCGTTTGTACCAGCAGAGAATACCGAGTTGAAGACCTCCTTAACTTTGCCAACCGGCCAATCTTCAAAACCCAATGCCACATTTTATGTCACCCTGGCATTGTAACTCTGGAGCAGACGTAAACAAAGTCATGCCCAGGAGACGACATAAAATCAAGAAAGAGAGAGTGAGAGTGGGATTGGATGACGAGTTCGCTGGAAGAATCCATGCGCTGAATTACCGTGGATATATCCGGGTGTAGGAGCGCGTCTGAAATGAAGGTGAAACCACGTCCCTTTGTTCCAAACTACATGCACTATACTTTGGAACAGGATCTCTTTTTCTCAGAGGTCATTCAAAAACGTCAATTGCCCAAGGAAGGGATGACATTAGAAGTCCGCTCAATTGTTAATGATATCAAATCAATGGCTGTCCCTGAAGA